TTCCTTGAGCACCGTCTTTAGCTCTCGCTTCAGCTGGAGCACGTTCCTGAGTGAACCCAAACAACCGTCACTCTGCGGAAAAAAACGCAGATATTGAATGATTCAGACAGAGGGACTCAAGTCAAACATGTCTGAAACCCTGCAGGGACTTCAGGCCGTGGTTCAAGGAGGTCTCGGAGCATTGCCGCACCACCCCACGCATCTCTTCCAGATCCTTGATGCGCACCTGGCGCTCGGAGTAGTCCTCCGCATCGTCCGAGTCCAGTGACAGCGCCCGATTGATGGGGTAGAAGGAGTAGTCTTGCCTGCCAGAGTTGGGGCGAGTTCCAACAGCTAGAAACTCATGATGCTTCCCGTGGTTCATAGTGCAAGGTGTATGGTGCTGTGTGTTCACACATTGGCAAACCCACCTGCCTGGAAACCTTGGTTTTCACAAAGGATTCGGGTCCATTCAGGTCAGAGTCTTTTGACTGCTTCAAGTACATGAGGAAGCGCGCATAGCTCCACATGTAGTGCTCCTGAAAGACGTGGTGCTCAAACTTCACCATTTGTCGCTCCATCCTTGAGCGGTTGATGCCGCAAATGAAGCAGTTGTTCTGCTGGTCGTCGTTCTTCTCCTGCAGGTCGGATCGCATGCTCGCGAAGGTGTCGATGATGATACCGGAAATAATGGCAGCAAGGATCAGGATCACCACCTTCCATTTGCTTAAGCCCATTGGAAAACCAAAAACATGTCCAGTAGTGATAGGTTCCCTTTTAAAACCAAAAAGGGGAAAACCCCACATATTCTTATTGAGATGGAAGCCGCCAAGTTGTAGAGATAGTCGAAGGTGAACTTCCACCAGGTCAGCTCCGCGGTCTTCCAGACCGGGCCTGAGCGGAAGCCATAGTCCAGGTGGGCCAACAAGCACTCCATCAAAGAGCTGCACTGCGAGGTGTCCATGTCCGCAAAGCCGTAGCCCTTTGGGAAGGTCAAGAAGCCCAAGACCAAAAAGCAGTACTGCACACAGAAGCCCAGCACCGCAGTTCCAATGACCTGATCTTTGGTGATCCACAAGGCTTCGAAGACCTTGCCCAAGGTTTCCACCTGAGCACAGGCATACATCAGGTGGAGTGAATAGATCAAGAAGTCGAAGTGCAGACCCAAGAAGGAGCTACCGGCCAGGAAGAGCTTGCTTACCAGCCCCGCATCTTGGAAGAAGAACCAAAGCGTCAGAATACCTCCGAAGATGCCGTTCAAACGGTGATGCGAGTGTGGATTCTCTTCCTTCCATTGATCCATGCCTGTGTCTATCTTCCACTGTGAGTAGGCAACCACATGAAAGAGGACCAAGAGCACAGCACAAACAAAGTGCGCAGTGCTCAAGGATGTCAAGGTCCACACGTACCACTCTTTTGCATAGTGCACCTGGGCGTTTCTCAAGATGATGGACCCGCTTTTGGCATTTTTTTTGGGGGGGGGAAATCTATATAACATGGTGAAGAGGAAGCCAATCATGGAGGACCGATGCCTTTAAGAACCCCACCTCGTATTCCCCCATCTTGTGGTCCTTCGAGTAGGAGCCGTCATACAGGAAGGCCACCAGGCTGGTGATGGCGATGGTCAGCAGGACGATGGCACTGCGAGCCGTGGCCATAACCTCCCCGGAGGCGTTCAGAGGGAAGGGCTTCTGAGAAAGGTTATACCTCAGGAGTTTGACCATAACCCAATCCCAAACCCCGCCAAGGGAAGATTGGCTGTCTCGAAGTCCACTGTGACCAAAGACCAAGCAATTGACATTTCAGCCTTCCCGAATTGGAAGGTGAAAGCAGAGACAACTGGAAAGTGGTCCCCTCTTAGGCACAGCGGGCAGACCTCTCAGGCAAACTTGCCGTCTCATCTCACTACGAGTGGCTGATGCTCCACGAAGCCAATGTACTCCTCGATCTGCTCGGAGAAGTCCTGGAGCTTGGCCTCAGGGCCACTGCGGTCCACCGAGTTGATGCAGCCCTCCTTGCGACGCGAAGCGTTGAGGGGAAACTCGCATGCCGGCTTGGAATTGAACAACGTGCGCTTACAGCAATTCGCGTAGGGGGAAAAACAACGCAGCGTCGACAAAGAGAACAGTACATCTGCGGGGTACTGAGGCAGCGGAGTCTCCTGCCAGTCTTTCAAGAGGCTCTGCGACTTCAGCGTCCGGATGGCTTTAGGCACCAGGAAGAACAACTTCTGCAATCTCTGGCCCCGGATGATCTCCACACGCCCAAAAAGGAAGTGCAGGTACTTGCTGTGGTGCATCTTGCTCACCGACTCGTTGAAGGTGTCGTAGATCTTGGACTTTGAGGTCGCCCACTGATTCCGAGTGTAAAGAAGGGGCTTCTTGGCCTTGCGCTCAATGCTCCCCTCGAAGAGACCCCGGTTGCCAAACTCTGGAGCCTGCTGGATGCCCTCAAAAAGGGCCCAGCAAAGGAAACAAATTTCCAGGGAGTGCTCCTCTTGATCTGGCAGGGGGTACTCTGTGGATTCCTTCTCACCCTTTGTTCGAATCACCTGCTCGGCGCTGTCGTTCTCCAAGACCTCATCCGCATCCTGCACGGGCTTGATCTGATTCTTTGGATCGTGTGCCTCGGGGGAGAGGTTCCAGTGAACGATGACCTTGTCGCACAGAATCTTGGGGTTGAGCTCCTCGCTTGCCCAAACACGACCTAGACATCAGCCGCAAACCAAACTTGGGCTGACTCACCATCGCCAGACCCAACCTTCAAACTGTGTCCCAACCTTTTTCACCCCGCCAACTCTCAAGGGTCCCATCTCCCCTCCCTCTCCTCGACCATTCGCCGAATGGTGGCGCCTTTGTGGTCCACCACCTCCTCAGAGACTTGCCGGAACTTGGGATCCTCTGGGTCCAGCTCCTCCTCCTCCAGCAGCGACAGGAGGAACTTCAGCACCGAGATCTCGCACAAGCGCATGGACGCCAAGAGCCCCATGAAGGGCTCGAAGAGGTCCTCAAAAAGCACAAAATGCAAAACAAATGTGCTCGGCCATGCCAACACACTGCAACATGGAAGAATGCAATGCTCTGATGCCAACAATTATAGACCTAAACTGCTCCCAGTTCACCCTGACAGCCTAACAAAAACAAAAAGTGTTCCCGTGCGCATCTTTCTCGGGTCATGTCTCTAATATCTTGCTAGACCTACCTGATCAGGGATAAACACTACAGTCAACACATACAGTATACTATAGGCTTTCCAAGAATGTCAACACCATAAAGCCAAGCATGCGACGTGTGCAATATCCGTGTTCTGGCCCAATCAGTAGTGGGCCTATCGGTTCACTGTGTGTGTGTGTGTGTGTGTGCGCGTTGGTTTTGCTTCCTAGTTCGTCTACGTCTTGATGGCTCCGGACAGGGGGGATGGTTTGGGCCAGGGGTGAGGATTTGGCACGCACACACACAAAATGCAACACTGCTTCTACGCAACAGCTTTCAAACATGCTAGGAGGTGCAACTGCTTGAATTCGAATGAAGCCGTCCAGAGCTAGCAGACTTGAACTCTCACAGCGGCAGGACCTCTAGGCAATGGAAAACAAATGGCAGTCTTTCAACAGCTTCGACATGCTGCGGGTCCCAACCCTAGCCTCGTTGTCCTGCAACAACGCCCGAAAGCTGAACTCGTCAATGCGCTGCCGCATCCAAAGCTGGTTCACGTCGATCAGAATCTCGCTCTGGAGCAACAGCCGCTGGTTTCCCCGGTTCGGACCCTGCACGATCTCCGCGGCGGTATCCTGACTTTCGGACTCGGTTCCAACGTGAAGAGGGCACCCCCATCCCCCAACCAATCCAAGTATTCCAAGTCCATGCTTACTAAGCAGGACAAGCAGGTTGTTCAAAGTTGACTGAAATCAGCAAGTGGTCAAACAACTGGCGCAGCATGGAGTACTTGGTCTCGGAGCCCTGCATCGAGACCTGCCACTGCTGGTCCGACTTCATCTGCTCCACCGTCTGCCGGGCCAAGGTGCAGATCCACTCCACCAGGTTCGTAGGCTGCGAGGCGCCCTTGTCCTCCTCCTCGTCCTGTTCCCGAAAATGGATGACAACTGAACAAACGGCCACACTGGCTAGATGGAACATGATTGAAGGTCACCTTCACAACTGCTGAAGCTGCTTGGGACAGAGTGACGTGAAGCGAATGCCGCTTTGGGGGATAGAAATGCATGTTATGTGTGTATATATATATATATATATATTACCATATGTATATATATATATATACACATATTATATATATATATACATGTATATCTTTGAGGGTCGCAAGTCCTCCTCTTCCAAGAACTCCGCGAGCAAGGTGGCGAAGTCCTTCCCCTCAATGGACAGGTCCTCACCCACGAAGTCCTGGAGTTTGGAGTTGTGGCCCTCGCAGAGGTTCTGCAGCTTCCGGAGCATCACGTCCATCACCTGCGTCTCTTTGGAGACATTAGCAACCCAATGCTCACTGCTGTGAGTCTTGTTTTTTTTGCCTCTTCCCGCCTGGACCTCGTCACTGCTGGAGCTATTGAAGTCGCTGAACTGAAAGCCCAGAGCCTTCTGCAGGTTCAGCTGGGGGCTGTCGAACTGGCAAAAGGCTGCCTGCAGGCTGAGGTCCGCATCCTCCAGCAGCTTGCAGCCCAGCTTCAGGGCCTCCAGCCGGAGCCACACGTCTGGGTGGTACATCATCTCCGGCACCAAGCGCAGAGGATCCGTGGGCTCCACCTGGGCCTCCTCGAAAAACTTGAGCAGCCTCAGGCGCACCTTGCGCTTGAGGTCCCGATCCACCGAGAAGGGGCAGAAGAAGATGGCCTTCTCCACCACGAAGCTCTTCAGGAATTGACCGCTGCTCTGCTGCGCCACGGTCCAGCGGTCCCACTTCTCCTCGATGTCCTCCTGGTGCGCAAAGATCTCCTGCAAGATGTTCAGCAGGGACGCGCAGCAGGCCCTGGCCAGCAGCATCTCCCCGGTGTCGTCGAAGAGCTTCTCGAAGATGTTCTCCTCCACGGCCGTCTCCGCAAAGCTCAGCCGCGGCTGGTTGGTGAAGGCCACCGTACGGATCACGTGGCAAATCCGCAGAATCCAGGACCGCAAGGTCTCCATCCTCTCCTCCTCTGGCTCGCGGCACAGGATCAGCGGCACCTCCGAGTCGTTCTCATAGGAGTTCTCGCTGAGAGTCTCCAGGACTGGCATCAAATTGGGGAAGGTCTGCTGCACTTGAAGCTCCCAATCCTTTCGCTCAATGTCCAGCTTGTTCAGCAAGTGCTCCAGCATCACATAGCTGCATGCACGATTGATCATCGCGACCACCTCCTCATGTTCCACTTCCAGAATCCGCGAAAGCCTGACACGGTCCAGCCCCGCTCGGCCCCCGCTGAGCCCAAAGCACTGCTCCTCCACAATGTCCACAACAATGTCCCGATATGAGGGCATCAGCTCGTGGATCACTTTGCGGCTGATGGCGTTCTTGTCGCTGGACAGTGTCTGCGCGTCTTTGAGGTCAGTGCCAGGCTCGTTGCTCAGCGCATGCTGCCGCGTTCCCACATTCACCACCTTCTGGATCACATTGGCATCAAAGCTCGTGGGACTCGTCAGGGCGATCAGCCTGGGATTTGCCACGGTGACCACAGTGCCGGCTGACTGGAAGAGACACCGAGACCGCATAGTGACTGTATGCGCCCCCAGCACCTGAAGCACAAGCTTCTTGCGGCCCAGGGTATAGGTGAAGTTTTCCAGGAAGACGACGTCATCGTTGACCTCCACTTCAAAGTAGACCTGGTTCATGACCAAGTCCTCAGTTGAGTGTGGCTTGCTGTCCGCGAGCAAGTGCTCCTTGATGTCGCGAACCTCCGTGGTGACGTGCACCTCCATCATGAGCTCCATTAGCACATTCTCCTCGAAGAAGAGCTTCATGCCAATCGCCTGCATGGACTCATGCAGGGCCTTGCGCACATCCCAAGTCTGCTCATCTGTGCCTGCCAGCGTAAAGCTGGGGTGGGTGAGTTGCTGCCTCCTCCACAGGTTCACATCGATGCGGAGGTTGGCCGCCAGCTTGGCATCATCCAGCTCCACCAGCTCGTACATGAAGTCTGTGAGGTCCTCCTCTTCCCTGGCCACCTTGGTTGTGGGCGGCATCCGCAAGCCCTGTGGCAGCACCGGATCCATTTCCTTCCGCAGAGGCTGGAAGGATTGGGCGTGGTCTTGCTGCTGCTCCCGGTCCTTCTCGGAGATCCGCGCATGGCGCCCCACTTTGGAGGCAGACACGCGCCATAGCTCGGAGAACTCCTCGTTGAAGCCCGGCGCGCTGGACCTGGCCTCCGAGTCCAAGGCTTGGGTGTCCAAAGCGAGCGTATCTCCCAAGCCCTCCTCGTAGTCCTCCTTGGCCACGGCACTGGTTGCCTGAGGCCACCACGGCCGGGGCAGCTCCTGGTCCCCGATGCGGCGCAAGAGGTCTTGCGCACGGTCGCGCTGCTCGCTGTCGCATAGGCTCAGGTCCAAGATCTGCTGCAGCACAGTGCACATCTCTTGGTCCAAAGACCACTCCTGGTGGCACCAATCCTGCTGATCAAACAGCACCTCCCAGAGCTGCGAGAGGATATCAGGCCCGTCTTGCTCCTCGTCCTTCTCCTCAGCTTGCTGTCCAGGTTCCAATGCCTTGGGCGGCTGACCTTGGAAGCAGCCGTTGTTCACCATGTACTCGAAGTCTTGGGCGACCTTGTCAGCTCCAGGCGCCTGATCGGAAGCACCTCCCAAGGCCAACTCATTAGGCGGAGCTCCGGAGGTAAGGAAGTTCTGCGCCCACCAACGCTTCCAGGTGTTCTGCTCGTTGTAGGCTTGCAGAACCTGCAGCAGCAACAGCAACAAATGATCCCGGATGAAGTAAGGCGAGAGGTTGTAGGTCACTCGCGCATCAATGGCCTCCACCACCGGGGAGATGCGGGGACTGAAGACGTGAAGCTCTGGAAATCGCCTCAAGTACTGCGTGAACCATTGGATCAAAAGCAATACAATGTGTGTTGGCTTCTCGGGCGTTCTTCGAAGTCGCTGAGATCTTGCATCCCAACGGTCATTCAGCATGTCCTCGATCTCGTGCGGCTGGAGCAGCATACAAACCATCCGCACATAGGCATCTTGCACCACCAATGGGATTTCCTGGTCTGAGTCGGAGGCAAGCCAATACACCACGTGCCGAAAGTAGCGCTGCCTGGCCATGCCCAAGGCTGCAAAGTCCTCATCCTCCTCCTCTTCTTCGACGTCGGAGCGCTGGCACTTGATCACCTCCCGGGCAAAATGCCTCAGCACCGTGCCGTTCACCCCGAAGGCCGAGCACCGGAGCATCAGCTCGATGGAGGCCAACGCGAAGGTGGTGGGGAACATCCGCGGTGTGCCCAGAGTCAGACGCTTCACCTCCCCCAGGGGGTCGAAGCCCTCGGCGTCGGCCTCACTCTCCGCCTGCTTGACGCCTCCACGCAGCTCCTGACGCCTCTGAGCCCGCTGCTCCAAGGCCTCCAAGTACTCCTTGATCCTATCTCGGTTGTCTTTCAAATTGATCTTGGCGCTCAGGAACCCGTCCCGCGCCATGGCGATGAAAGGGCTCTCCAACCGGAACACCGTGTTTTCCTTCAGGAACTCCATGGCGATGATGTTCCCATTGTTCCGAGACTCGATGTTGTCTTTGCCCAGCGTGACTACGGCGTTCAGCACCCTCAATGCATCCAGCGACACCATTGGTCGTGCCGTCAGATTGTCTTTCAAAACCTCCATCATCTCTCGGACGAAGGAGGGGGTCACGTTTTGGGCTGCATTGGGGTTGTTGAGGTAGATGTTCACTAGGAGGCTTGAGATTCCCATGTCCTCATAAGCCAGCGACTTCACCAAAAACCGGAACACGTCAGGCCTCAGGAAAATCTCGCGGTACATGGGGAGGAGGGCAGTGAATGATTGCAGGAACTTGACAGCCACATCAAAGGCGCTGTCTCTGTGATAAGCTTTCTCCTCAGTGGCTTGCAGTGGCTACAATAGCCCGTCGGGGGAAGAGGCACTGTGTCTTGGTTATGTTTGCAGGGGATCCACTGAAAACTCATTGGTTTTGGCTCTACCAACCTGACTAATTCCAAAGCTTTATATAGGCCTATTAAGCCAAACAGTATCAGTAGACTGCGCTGAAATTGCCACTGGCGCTTTTCTGGGGAGAAATCCAAAGAAGATGGTGCCGAGCTTCAGCCATAATGGAGTTCCGTAACGGCACCGAGCTCCGCAGAAAGCTGAGCACCCTCAAAGCCAGCAACTCCACTCGGTGGTACTTCAGCAGGTGCCCGTCTCCCTGCTTGCACACAGAGGTGAAGTGTCGGAAGAGCTTGGCCAGCTGGGCCTTTTCCTCTCTCACGGGATACAACTGCGTGAGCCGCAATCGGAGAGTGATCTCTGTGTCCTGCTCTGGCGAGAGCTGTGAGGGATCTTCTTCGTTGAAGCATACGAACAATTTGGTGGCACCGTAGACCATGTTCTCATGGATGTCGATGGACACCAAGCCAGTATCCTTGTCATCCTCCATGACAGGGTTCCACTTGGTGCCTACCATGCGGTGCAAGTGCGTGGTGGTGTTGCTGTAAAAGGAGTTGAAGGCCCGCTGGGATGCCACATGGGAGCCCCGCACAAACTGAGCAGACTCAATGAAGGCCTGGACCAAATTTGACACCCGCAGGGTGTCCTATACATATAATACCCCAATAAGAAATGTCTTGGTGCCGCATGGGGCATGGGTGCCTGAAAAAACTTGAAAACATATATCCATCATATGTTGGGTTCCTTTCGGGCAAACATAGCTCTATACAATTCAGCACCCAAATGCGTTCGACCCCCTCTTAGCCACAAAGTCACATCTCGTGATGCCTTCCAATTCCCAAGCCCACTCCACTCTCCACTCCACTCTCCACTCTCCACTCTCCACTCTCCACTCTCCTCTCCTCTCCACTCCACTCTCCACTCTCCACTCCACTCTCCACTCCACTCGACTCCACTCCGCCTGGGTGAGTGCTACATTGACGCACCAGGTCTGGGTCTTCTTGGGCAGCACCGGCAGCTTGAAGGCCTTCAGCTTGGCCAAGTACTCCGAGCGGAAGTCCAAGGCGCTGGTGCACGCGCAGCTGTTCCAGCCGCTGTAAATCACCGACTCCTCGCAAACCACACGAGGGTTCAAACCACATGAAAACAAGGGGGTAAGTTGATATCCACGGTTGTTGGTCTAATGGTGTTCATCAAACTTGGGTCAACCATGATTTTATTGTGGGTGAAACCTATATTAGGGAAAAACTAGGGCCAAACAGCCAGTGCCAGCAGCAAAACTGCAGTTGCAGAAGCATGCATCAACAGCAAGAAATCAGAAACGCCGAACATCGCGAGCGAATATGTTGCTGCTTTGCATCCAACATGAAGAGAATCAAGGCTTACATCTATCAAGGAAAACAACCTGAACGGTGCAGTCCTCCTCAGCTTCAGACTTGCTCTTGATGGCGTACACATCCCGAAGCACATCATACATGATGTCCACCACCAGGGAGGTTTCATCGAGCTTGGTATCCTTGGGCGAGATCAAGATGCCCTTGCCTCGCCTGGGCCTTCCCTGGTTCAGCTTCACCTGCTGTTGCAGTGAGCCAAAGACCACGCAGGGCACCGAGTTCTCCTCAACCTCCCTGTCGATGCAAGCGGTCCGATATCCGTCCACGTAAATGAAGAGCTTTGGCGAGGCGCCAGTGTAGTCAAGCTCCACGCCGACGCAGCTCCCTTGCTGGAAGCCCCCGAAACAGTCGCTCATACTTTGGCCCCTGATATAGAGTTGTCCGGTCTCGTCACATCCAAAGAACTCGCTGGGCGGCTTAAAGCGGTTTGCTCTTACGTTGACCTCCTTGGGGGGTAGCCAGCCTGCACTGAGCACGCCGATGAACAGGGGGCACGGCTTGTTGTCCTCATCGCGCTTTGGCAAACTCTTTACCTCGAAGTCAAAGTTCAAAATTCGGGCATCACCCTGCAGGTTTGTCGCAGCCATCCTAACCACTTGCTGATGCAGCTGGTGCTTGTCCGCATACTCCAGCAGGCGGTCCGCCTTGTCCTTCACCTCCACATGACTGCTGGCAGCATCGTCCTCGTTCCAGTCATTACTCTCAAACTGGTGAGCATAATGCTCTAGCCCCTCTCGCTCAGAGAACATCTGCTGGTCCCGCAAGTCCTTTTCGACCTTGTTGATGTTGTCAATGACCCGGTCAGTTTCCTTGACCCAGGATTCCAGCGAGTTGAACTTTTCGGCATCATCCATGTCCAAAAGCTCCAGTCTGTCAATCGCCTCCAAAAAATCCTTCCTGCGCCTACAGAGCCGAGAAAGCAGGCGGACGGCTTGAATGGCCAGTCGAGCATCAGGCAAAGAAACACAATCAAGCAGCACTGTGATAAAGTTTGCAAGGTTCCGAGCCGCCTCAAAGCCGTGCTTGGATTCCCAAGGTAAGGAGCACTTCCCCAGATCTGCCAGCACTCGCTCCACGCTTTCACACTCCTCAATCTCAAAGGCGGTGATCAGCTTCGCAGGTGCCTGCTCCGGAATGGAGAGCCGAACTTTGGTTTTTGCCCGGACAGAGGGGGGCACAAATTCCAGGAATCCGGCCATGAATTGCAGAATATTTTCGTTCACCGACAGTGCGCAGCACTGGTTGATCACGCGGCATACGTCTGTCAGACCAGCCAAGAAAAGAGGTGTAACGACACTGCGGTGTGTCCTCTGAAGTTTGTGCATCAGCGTGAAGATGCTGACCAAGTGGTCCATTCTGTAAATGTTCCCCGTGGCCCTTGTCCTTTCGCCAGCATATGATTGATCCATGCGAAAGCGCTCAAAATAGCCAAGGCCGATGAGCTTGCTCAGCATCTTACTGAGAGCACTGATGAGGGCGCTCATGGTGTTGGTGAAATTCAAAGGCGGTTTGGGCATTGGCTTATTGTTGAAGGTGCACATGTTATCACAGAGGTCTGCGAGAGATGCCAGTTGCCATGAGCACATATGGCAAAGGTCTTGCAATGACTTGGCAGCAAGCGTTAGATTGGAGCCAGCCTCATCGTAGACTGTATCGTCATCATCGGCCCTTCGGCCATCCAAATACACAGACTTGATGATGGTACTACGGGTCTCCTCGTCTGAGAAGGGTGGTTGGCCCAAGTAGCCGTAGAGCAACAGCGAGGCATGCGCACTGAGCCCAGCGAGGTCGCTGATGTCGCCCAAATCCCGGGCCTCGACCTCAGGCTCGGAGAGCGCATACTGCAACAAGTCAGGAGGCACAAAGCGCAGGCCAGCATTCAGCAGCGTCTCCTGCTGCACCAGTTGCGACTTCACCACGCTGTCAGGGATGTACTTGGACACCAGCTGGGCATTTCGGGTGTTCCGGTCTGCGCACAAATGGGCCAACAAATTGATGAGCGCAAAGTACAGGAACCGCTCAAGGGAGATGTTGTCACCCACATGCTGCGTCACATCGTCGCTGTGCTGGCCACAAGCGTAGCGTGGAGGCTGAACCCTGTCCTGATTCCACAACACACGGGGGATCTTGCCCTCAGCTTCCATCTCTGGATCATGAGGATCAAAAAGCACCAGCGTCCCAATGGTGAGGAGGACAAAGCGATCCTTCTCATCGAATAGCTGCTGCAAGGATTTCTTCTTGGATTCCCGGTTGTCGAATGTTACCTGTACCACTGCTTGAAGCTTAGCAAACCATCTAGTTTGAATTGCTTTTGTCAATGAATTGGCTGGTGCCGGTTATCTTATAAACATGTCTCCCAAAAGGGTTTCTGGTTTGGACACATCCCCAACTGATCGTGAACAGAAGCTGCAACAAATCTTGACCACAAGCAGCAACAAGGACCAACAAAAGTCGAGTTGCAGCGTGGCTGGTCCAGTAGTTGTCGTGGCATTCTGGCTCTGGGCGGCGGCGTGAGGCCGCGGCCTCGTTCGTCACCATCAGCTCCTTGGCAATGAAATCCTGGACAACCTTCACTGCCCGGTTGTCTCTGCCAATGCAAAGGCTGGTCAGGACGCGCACAATACTTCCTAGAAAGGGCACATGGTAGTAGTTGTCTGCGTGCATGGTGGATGCCTCCTCGGGGTTCAAGGACTGCAAGTAAGTCTCCGCATCCATGAAGCGCCGGCGCCGAGTGAAAAGCTTCCACAGGACATCCATCAACACGCGCACGCCCCCGAGGCTGTCCGCAGGATCCCCCAGCTGGCATGTCTGCAGAAATTGCTGGAGCACTCCCTCGAAGCTCCGATGGGCACGCATGGCCTGCACCTCCTCAGTCAGTCCTGCCGGCACGGGCCTGACAAAGGCCATGAGCATCAAGTACAAGGTGTTGCAGGCCCAGCGGGTAAGCTGCTCGCTGGCGTGCCCTCCACACATGGGCACAAGGAGTGGCACCAAATTGTGCTGCAGGAACACCTGCCAAGCATTGAAGTGTGAGCCGCACTCATGTTGGGCACGGTTGGTCCCCCTATGGCATGCAACTTTAGTGAGTTTTCACCACCGTTTTCCAATTGCAATTTGGTCGTTGTATCCAAGGTCGCTCCCTTGACAGTAAAATACTGTGAACATGGACTATAGACAGACCCATCCCTTCCACTTCCAAAAAACTTCTGTTCGGCCCTGCCCCGCACCTCGGGCATGGTGATGGAGCTCATGACTTGCGCCCTCTGCTCCGGGGAGTAGTCCGAGGGAGCGATCTGCAGCAGGCCGTGCACCGCCCCCGCGTGCACGTCGAAAGGCAGCAGCACCGCCATAAAGTTCTCCAGCTGTGCCTGCGGCCCATGTTGACTCTTCATGGCAACATGTCACGTGTTGTTTTGTGTTTGTGTTGTGTTTCCCCTTTTTTTCTGTTTCACTGCTTCCGAAGGAGGCCCAAAGACCCAACGAACGACTGCATGCTGACACCACGTGTGGAGGAATGGCGCTGTCAGTGGTTTTGTTCAATCCGATGTGGCCGGCCTTTTCGAAGGGGTGTGAAGGGTCATCGAAGGGGTTGGTCCCCTTCCCCTTCTTGCTGTTGTCCTTCTCGTTTCCGCCCCCAGAATTGCCGGAGGCAGCGCCAGAGGCCTCCGAGAAAAAGGAGCTCTTGTTCTCACTCTTCATGAAGCTCTTTCCCACGTCCTGAGTTTGTGAGCCCTCCTGCGAACCGAGCGCACTGGACTTCATGGTGAGCATGGTGGTTGCTCCGTCAGAGGCAGTGAGACCCGTGGTGGCTCCAATCACAGCGGTAGCTCCCATCGAGGTGTGCATGGTCTGCATGTTGCTCGGAGAATACTCATCATCAGCTCTCTCATTTAGTACTTCGTACTGTTCATCAGCCCGGGTCATTTCCAAACGGATAGTCTGCAAGGGCTTGGTCTGGCGAATGCAGGAGAGAATCCGCAAGTCAGCAGTCGCCTTAGTGTCATTGAACTTCATCTGCAGTTTCACTGTGGGATCCTGGGACTTCTTCAATTCACCCCTGATTCTCTGCTCGCTGATGCTTACTGTGAAGGCAAAGTATGCCCATCCCTTGTGGTTCAGGATGTTCTTGATGGTCTGATCATTCTTGTCTCTCCAATCCCAGGTCCTACGCCTCCGGTGCTTGTAATCATCTGTGCTCCTCTCTTCCAGGTACCTTGCGTGGAAGGCCATTTCCCCCTGGCGCCGCATGAGCTTAAAGGAGGACTCAATGGGAAGCTTGTCCTCCCCGTTCTTCACCGCCTGGGCCAACTCGGCCTGACTCATGCTCGTGGAGAAGCAGTCCCAGAGAATCTTCAAGTCCACCTTCACGTCCTTATCGGTCTTGGCCCAGAGAGAGAAGGTGAAGGCGCGCTCGTTGCGGGAGTCCAAGTACACCGTCTGAGTCTGAGAGCTTTCCTCGCTCTTTGTGAGAATGTGGCTCACAATGCGATAGTCATGCGTGGCCTTGAGCACGTCTTGCCTCTTGCACTCACGCTTCGGCATCTGCGGGCCCCAAGAATGAAGCAAGGTGTACATCACCTCCACTACACGCGCATGCATCTTCCTGTTGCAAACCTTCACGATGTGAGACATGGCATCAATCAGCATTGTCATGTCCGTGTCCACATGATCCAAAAGAGACATGTTCTTGGTGCCCACGTCCACATCCACATCCTTGAGCATGTTGTACAAGTCTCTCAGGCCATCGCCCAAGTCGTATGCCAACAGCTGCAGGACAGGCACGCAATTGGTGTTCTCTAGCAAGTCTGACTGCAGGTTGGAGAGGCACTGGCTGACATTGGAAATCGCCCCGCAAAGCTCCCGGAAGAGCCGTGTGTTGAAGATGTAGGGCAGCAGCAGGTACTTGGGTGCAACGACTTTTCTTGTCTGAGGATCAATGCAAATTGAAGGTGTCTCGAGGTGGAAGGCGGTGGCATCGCTGAACCGCGGCAAGAAGTCCTTGATCTCCCCGATGACGCGCATCAGCTTGGGCACCACGTCCTCCAGGATCAGCATGGCATGGCCCTCGGGGTTGGAGACCAGGCAAACCTGCAAAGGGCATGGTGTCCACAGAAACTTTGAGAGAAGTCCCAAGCGACAAAAGCCCCAACGACCAAAACCCAGTCTTCTGCTGGGTTCGGGTCTCCCTCCAAATCACTGTTGAACCAACATCTGAGTGCGAGCATCCCACGTGCCTTCTTCAGCACGGAGGCCGAGCTGAAAGCCACCGAGAGGTCCCGGAAGAGGTCGTGAAAGTTCTCCAGCTCGCTGAGTCGGTCCACGGACCTGGGCTGTCAGATCCCCGCTCGAAGTTTTTCATTTTTGGGTTGAAAACAGCTAAACACCAAACATGGGAAATGAAACAACGGCCAGTTCTTAAATGGAAACAACCACCGAACACTAATTAACAGGCTAAAATGCTAAAAAGCTAAGGGGATGGCTGGGAGCCACCAAGGGACCTCTCCAATGGCCTCAGCACCTGCAGCAGCTGCTCCCCCGATCCGCTGGACCCAGCTCCGGAAGCTCCCGACGACCCGGCCTTGCGGCGGGCGGTGAAGGACACGGCGGAGATGATCTCGTAGCGCATGCCCTGGCGGATCACGTTGAAGATGAAGGCGCGCTGCTCCTGGGAGGTCTCTGGTTTCTGCAAGATGGCCAGCAAAGGGCTGATGATGCGGCTGGACGCTGAGTCCTTGTTCTCCGCGATGTCCTTGGCCTCCGGCTTCAGCCACTTGGTGAGGATGTTGCAGAAGCTCAGCAGGGAGCTCTCCGCCTTCGCTGGCGCTGAGAAGGCCTGGGTCATGGAGGACAGCACCTTCTCCACCTGGGCCCGACTGAACTTGGCCACATTCCGAGGAATGGAGAGGAGCTGCAGCACGGAGTCGCACATGGCTTGGGCCACTGTGGGGTCGAGGCTGTCCACCAGACTCAAGATCCGCGGGCCGTTCTCCGTGAGCTTGTGGGGCTGCTTCGCCGCAACCGCCAGCACAGCCAGTGCCAAAATCCGCTGGATGGGCCGCAGCTGGTCATTCAGGCGCACGTAACTCATGCTGGCCACCACGTTGGTCTTGTCCGCATCATTCTTCGTGGCAGCAGCATCGATGTCCTGGCCGCCAGAAGCCACCTGACCATCTCCCAGCACGTCCAGGTTCCGTGAGCTGGCCTTTGCCGTCCGTGTCCACTTGAGCAGGCGAGTCATGAAGGGCACGATCCCCGTGGGGTCTTCCTTCGACAAATTCTCCTGGTCCTCTCCCTCCTCCTCCACAGTCTCCTCCATGTCGCGCTCCAGCTCCCGGCGAAGCCGAGTCTCAATGGCCTCCACCAAGCGAAGGATGTACTCCACGATGCTCTCATTCCTTCCAGCCTTCTCAAACGCAAAGCTGGTGTTCGCTTTGCTCTTGTCCTCCGAGGCATCCTGCGACACCATCCCCTCCGTCATGCCCTGTAGCACAACCTTAGGAGGCTCATCGGCCACCATCTCGATATCATCCTTCTCCAGGAACGAATCCAGCTTCTTGCCGCTCATGAACTGCAGCTGATAGTAGATGGTGTCGTGGAAATCCAGGTGAAAGATCTCCATGGGCTCTCGTGAGGCATGCCTGTAGCGTTCCTTGAAGTATGCTTCGTCTTGAATTTTTTGGGCCTCTGACTCGGCGAGCTCCATCTTGAGTGGCCTGGTTTGGGCTAGGATCATCTTGCACTCCTCGCGGCGGTGGATGGGTTGCTGCAGAGCCGACTCCGTCTTGGCGAGCCAAATGATGATCTCGTTGGGGTCCACCACAATAGGCGCATCATGCCACTCGATAAGGGCCGTAGCACCAGAGATGTAATCCCCGATCTGCCGCCCAATTTGAGGAATAGCCTTCACCAGCATGCCAGGCGCCCCGGGCACACGGAGCTTCATAATCTGGCCCAGCCCATCACTAGCGCGGGCTTTCCGCAAAGGCTTGGGCGCTTGGATGGCCTTGGTGGCTACTGTCGCAGGCACCGTGGAAAGGCAGCTGTAAAGGACCTGGGAAACCAAGTACTGCTCATCGTTGGAGAGCTCGTCATCCCGGATAGCACACAAAGTGGCCATGAGTTTTCGCTGGTTGCACTGCTGAAGAACGAAGTTCATCAGCAGTCGGTATTGGCTGGTGATGCCTTGGCTCAACGCCAAGCCACTATGAGCAGGTCAACAGGCAGTGAAACAAACAGCCGCCATCCAAACCGCAGTACACATGCACATGATTGCACATGTGTATATATATATATATGTGTATGTATATACACTTAAATATATATATATATATAATAACAATACTAATAACAACAATAATAGTAATAAGAATAGTAATAATAATAATAATAATAATAACTACAACAACAACAACAACAACAACAACAACAACAACAACAACAACAACAACAACAACAACAATAATAATAATAGTAACAATAACAATACCAATAACAATAATAATAATAGTAATAGTAATAGTAATTGTAATAATAATAATAATAAATAATAAACAATAATAAACTAATAATACTAATAATAATAGTAATAATAATCATAATCATAATAATAGTAATAAACAATAATAATAATAAAAATAATAAACAATAACAAACTAATAATAATAATAATACTACTAAACAATAATAAAATAATAATAATAATAGTAATAGTAATAATAATAGTAATAACAACAACAATACTAATAAACACACAAATATACTAATAGTACATAATAATAAACGCAGAAACAACACTGCACTTGCAAAGGATCTCATAGACTTTACCCAGAAGCCCGGGTGCGGCGGTCATCCTGGCGGATCTGCTGCTGCATGAAGCGCTGGAACTTCTCCGCCTGGCAAATCTCCTCCGCCCACTGCTGGCGCAACTCTGGCAGCGGCCCGGCCAGCAACTTGATTAGCAGGTCCTGCGGAGATGGGACAATCCGGTAAAAAGAAAATGTGATGAGCCAATATTGTTTGAACATCCTCAGTTCCCTCTTGAAGCGGTTCATGGCCTGGTTGTTAAACAGAATGTTGCCCAACCCTGCCATCCAGTGACTGAAGCCTGTGGAAAACAAGATAGCTCTGACATGTATGGTCAAGGTCTTGCAACAGGTTCGTGCTGTTCCGCCCTGCTCCTGGGTGCGTGTCACAGTCTGGAAGTTCAGCGTTAGGAAGTGGAAGAAGGTGTCCATGGCGCCCACGCTGGGGTCTGCCAAGCACTTCACGTTCTCCTGGAAGTGGATGAGCAACAGGAGTTGGCGCACCACAATAGGGGCCCTCGCTTCTGTGACGGCAGCATCCGGAGGTCGCTTCACCATGTGCTTGATGAGCTCCAAGCGCGATGCGCGGTCGATGCCATCGCCACCCACTGGGATCCAGGTAAGCAGGTTTGTGGCCAGTTCCGCAATGGCCTCAAAGGTGGCCGCGCCCTTTGCCTCCAGCATCACCTGGTACACATTGTCCATGCGCCTCTCCCCGTTCTCCTCCTTCAACAGGACGTTCACCACGCGGCGCATGTTGGTGACCACTGCGGGGTCCGCCAAGTTCCGCAGGGCTTGGCCCGCCGCTTGCTTCTGGGCCTCCAGGGGGTCCTTGAGCAGGTCGCACAGCACTGCGATGCCCTCCTCCGAGGCGACCTTGAGCCGGGGGTCGAAGATCTGCACGGGCAGCCCGGGCAAATGCACGGGATCCGGCAGATCGTCCACCCCCGGCACCCCGTACTGGTTGAACTGGACCTTCTGGCGCTTGGCGTCGTCCGCCGCGTTGTCCAGCCAGGCCCTGAGCTCGTCTTGGGCCTTGAGCTCTCTGGCCTGCTGCACCTCTAGGGCTGTGCCCGCCACCAAGGTCAGCTGGTACACCCAGGCGGACCCGGTAGTGGACCTGCCGTACTCCCAGGGGGGTGCGCCCAGGAAAGTGTCCTGATGACCTGGCTGAAAGTTCACCATGAGCTCGCACTGCAAGGTGTGGGTAAAGATGATCTCCCCGTTCATGATGACCGTCATGTTGTTGCTGTCCAAGGCGACCACCAAGTGAGCCCAGCGATAGATCTCTACAAACTTGTGGGGGATCACCAAGGTCTTCAGGCGCCCATCGTGGGTGTAGCGGATGACGATGGGATGGCACCCGGGAATCACGCGGTTCTCGGTGGCCACGGTAGTGGTGTGGTCCACCCCCACTGCCAGCTGCACCTCGGAGGGCGAAGTGCCCTTGTAGAAGATCACCCCAGGCACCTCTGCGCGGTGTTCGTCCATCAGGAAGACGTGCAGCGACAAACTCCACACCACCTCCCCTCGCGCAAACTCGCACATCCAGCCCGTATGCTGCTTCGGGCGCAAGAGGTTCAGTGAAGTAGACAGCGCCCACTTTGTAGGCTTGTTGGAGAAGTTCGTCAGGCACCTGGCGCCAATCCATGGGGATGGTTCTTGTCGGATGAATTGACCTATCAAACTTCTATGGAACCAGCAAGTACAACAAGTCACACAACTGGCCAGCAATGATTTTCAGCGTTGCGCGCCTGATGATGTAATTGCCATCATAGCACAATGCCTCATGCGGCGGCGGTTGGCATTCTGGCTTGGTCGCGCCCTGAGTGTTGTTATTGGCAATGTCCACAATCTTCATGATTGCCTCCTGATGGTACGCAAAATGCTGCCGGCCCTCTTCACTCGATGACACGCCATGATAGAACCGCGCCACTGCGATGTGTGAGCGATCCAATGGTATGCGCCGCTTGCCACCCACTCCAGTCTGCTCTTCGATGCTTGGGCGCTTCTCTAGAAGCTGGAACATGATCTGAAAGACAATCTTCTCCACGAGTGCGTCCTCTATTATGGCCGGGTGAGGAGGTTCGCTGCCTCTTTGCACCAAGAAAGACAAAAGCATCACAATCTTCAGATCTACATCGGCTTGTACCTTGGCGCCGCTGGGTCCCAAACCCTTGGAATGTGAGTGTAGACTGGTGAGTAACTTCATGAATCCCGGCTCGTCCAGTACCATTTTGCGACGGACCAAGATCGTGTCCTTGTCATCTGTATCCCAAACAGGGCGGACAACGAAGCGATACCCTCGATTCTCTCGGTCTGCAGCGTCCTCGGTATCCTGAACTGCCGTCACCTCCTCGGATTCATACTTGAAGCGCCATTGGAAGGTGTCCGACTGAACATGTATCTTCACATGCGGATCTGCCAAACGTGACCAAAGCCCTTTGCGCACCCCTCCTTCCAGTATCTCGACCGCGCCGTTTCCAATGGGCAGGTTGTCAAAAGTGATGACGTTGCCAGAGGAATCCGGGACATGGAACTGGTAGATGTTGCTGGAGGCATGCATCTTCAGCCTGTGAGCTTGGTGTTCGCTTTCGGCAGAGCGGGTAGGGTACTCATCCCGGCCCAGCATGTGGCACAGCGTGTTGAGGATGTTCAAAATCACTGAGGCGTGGTCAGCGCCCGGTGTCAGCCCGACACCGCCAGCCTGATAAGTTTTCAGTGCTGCTGTGAACTTGCTAAGGTCTGTTGAAATCGCATCCTGGCACTCCAGAAGAAGGAAGTTCACTTCGGCCCTCTCCTGAGTCTCTGTGCCCACCAGGCTCCGTGCTTTGTTGAAGAGGCTGATGAAAGCGGGTGCCTCCACCGGCGACAGCAAGTGTGCAGTGGTGCCCAGGAGAGCATAGGTGTTCTGTGCGGCGCGCAGTCGGTTCTTCCAGCTTTGGCCCCGAAGCGCTCGAGTGTTGAGGCGGACAGTGAGGCCGCTGGCGTCCGAGACGTCGTCCCGCACCGATCCCAAATCCATGCAGATCTCGTCAGCCATTGCCTGCAGAAAAGACATCTCAAAGAGCGCCTCGTAGGTGTGGGGGAACTGCAAAAGAATGGCCAGGCCCTCCAGGGCCATGCGTCTGCGCCGGGTTTGCTCCGCCCAGCCCAGAAGCGGACTGCTCTGCAGAAGGGCCTGCACCGCCTTGTGCAGCTCCGACTTGTCTCTCTTGCGCGCCACGAAGCGCCAGATCTGCTCAGAGCTGCACAGCGCGCACAGCAAAGGCAGGTCTTCGCAAAAGCGGACCTCCCCTGGCAGCTTTGATTTCTTCTCCGTCCTCTCTCGGATGTCTCGTTCGTCCTCTCCGTCCTTCTCCTGTAGCACGCCCTCCAGCACCGCCTCCAGCACTGCGCGGGTGTTGTCTGCTCGTGGGTCCTGCAGTGGCAGGTTGATGCGCTGCACAGCCAAGTCGTTGGACGGGTGAGGCAGCACCTCAGCCTCGAAGTCCCGGAAATTGCAATACGCGGAATAGATGGAATTCGTGCTGGACACTGCAGGGGGCGAGTCTCCGGGCCAAGTCATGTGCGAAATGGGCTGCGGGCTTTTCCGCTCCTTCTTCCCCGGCAATTGGAACTTGAAGTGGTCGCAGCACAAATTCGTGAAAAGGCTTGGCAAGGACTGGAACATGTGGCCAGCAGAGCCCATGTGCACGAACGGGATCACAGCAACTTTGCCTGGAAGGATCAAAGACTGGACATCCACCAGCATGTCATTCATGAAGACAGAGACCCATAGAATGGAGTCCACAAACAGAAGCTGCATGCGAAGCAAACAGCCTCGTCGGGTGAGGCTGACCCTGGCAGAGTCCCTCTGCTCTTCCAGGCTTGCTAAGCGCTTGTCTGGTGCCTGCTGCACCATCTTGGGATCCACAAAGACCTGAACGGGGACAAAAGTCATGCTTGACTGTCTTTTTCGAGGCAAAATGAGAGCAAAAGGCTTAACCTTGGTCCAAAGAGTGCAAGCTGCACTTGACTTGACTTGCCTCTAGAGATGCGCAACTGATGCGGTAGAGCTCCAAGGGCTGGCGCTGGTTGTCGGCATTTAACAAGCCCACTGCGCATTGCTCCTTCTTGATGCTGCCGTTCACGGAGGAGGGGTGGTGTAGCAGCCACTGCAGCTGGTAGGCACTTCGCTCAGACAAGCATGCCTGCGTGCAGGGCCAGCTGCCGGTTCCCACAGGCAGCCCCGGGGCGCCAGTGGCCCGGAGCACGGCGCAGCTGTGCGGCAGCAGCCCATCCTGCTGCACCAGACCGTCTGAAATGGCCCGGGGCGCCGTAAACATCGGCACGTAGTCCTCGAGCCGAGTCGAACAAGACGCTTACCGAATCTGAGAAACGCGGCTTGCATCAAAATCAATTAAACAATCACACAAAAGTTGAAACGGGGCATGGGATAGGCTGTACTCGTGTCCTGGGAACAGAAAAGGCAGCCAGGCCATTGGAGCGCCACGTCGTACCTGGCCCTTACGGAAGGAAAGACTTTGGTGTTGGGCCCACGCGACTGCGCGGCAGCGCTATCCGCAGACATTGGCACTGCATCAAGGATGTAGCCGCGATCCTCGTGGATGATGGGCATGAGGCAAACAAAAACAGCTTGGTTTCCGGCCACCAACATTGCGTTTGGTGCCCCCGCGTCTGCGAACTCTTCATTCAGCTTGTCTGCCGGCTCGTAATTATCCCAAACCCGGACATATGCTAAGTCACAAAGAAGCTGGTTGCAAAGCTTCTTGATGTTTCCGTTGATCTGCACCTCGCAGCCCACATACACCTCAGTGCGGAACATGTCTTTGGTGTAGCTCTCGACTACCATCCTGGGCTCTCCACCGTCCCAGGAAGCTGCCAGCCTTGGATGCTCAGCGCCCGGGGAGGGGTTGGGGGGGGGGGTGGCGGGGTGGCAGGGCGCCTTGTTTCGGTCATGCGAAAAACCAACAAAACAAACTTGAAAAAGCTTCTGGACGGCTGGGCAACTCTGTCTTGCCATCCACATAGCCAATGGTGCAGTGAAGCCAGCCATCTGGCCCTGACTGAGGTGGCAGCTTCAGCTGAGTCACATTCTGAAAATAGACAAATGTCAGAAACCAGCAGTTCTTTTGGTCCTCCCCCGTGCACATGCCATCCTTCTCAGGATCGTTCGTGGTGCTTGGCAGACTCTCGATGGAAATCCTGAACTGGTCCCTGGAGTCGATCTGGGTTGCCGCGCGCTTCTCATTCACGTTGGCCATGATGGTCTGCACCTTGGCGCCCTCCTCCAGGTGACTGTACTGCCGGAACCGGACTTTGAACTCGAAGGCAAAGGACTCGTCGTTCAAGTGCAGCTTGATCAGCGGAGGCACCTGCTTCACTTGGCCGAAGTTCACTGCCCACTGGCGCAGTCGCACGCTGCAGACCTCGTCCAAGTCGAAGCATGCGGCCAGCAAGCTGCTGGCCGCCGCCCGCAACGTCTGCACCGCCTCCAGCTGGAACTCATCCACGTCCTCTGCACAGCACTCACGGGACTTTTGGAGGGGACTCAGCAAGCGACTTCTGAAGGACTCAAACAACCAGCCCAGGTCATCATAACTACAACATGCACATTATCATTCACAAAGGAGCTATACGTTTGCTTGTTTTCTTTGTCTTGCTGTGTTTGGCTTGGATGTGGTCGGTTCGGGGTTGATTTAGGGTGGGTTGAGGGTAGGAGTTGATTTTAGGCGGGTTGGTGCTTTCTGATTTGGTTTTATCTGAAGCCATAAACTTCAGCCACGAAAAGCTGGAAAAGCGGCAAAAGCCACGCCAAACCAACAGCCAAAGAAGCCACCAGATTAGCTTACCTGGAGTTGGTGGTTTGGAGGCTGGCGGCAGTTACAAGAACCTCGGGTTCAAACCCCCAAACCACCAACTAAGAGTAGCTTGAAGCAGGACTCACTTGGATACCTACGCACCAAATCCAGCCAAAGCCGCCAAAGCACAAAAGCCTCTCCGAGGCCAAAAAACCAAGCACATCTCATCCTAAAGAAAGCAAGCAACAACTGAGTAAAACATGGCCCTCCTCAAAAAACAACCCAGTCCTTGAGCAAATGATCCTTGGAGGCCAGCAGGCCCAGGATGGGGCCCTCCAGTTTCTCCCAGACATCGCTGGTGACCAGCCAATTCAGCGGCGAGGGCCGGAAGTAGATGTAGGGGAAGACACAGCACTTCTCCTCCGCGGACTCGAAGGCATGCAGGTCCTGCGGCAGCGCGGGCCGCGCCAGGTGCAGGTTCTGGACCTGGGAGGCGGTCAGCCCCTCATCGTGGTAGGCCAATTCGAAGATAAAGCCCGGGAAGAACCAGTTCATGGCGTGGAAGGGCACCAAATCTGGGGGCGGCACCCCCACATAGCAGGTGCCCCGCTGAGGCCCGCTCAGGGAGAACTGCTGCTTGCCGGAGGTGTCCTGCTCCAAGACCAGGTCGCCGTTCAAATACACCAGGATGCGGCGCCGGCCCAGCACCAGCGCCACGTGCGCCCACCTGCCGCGCCGCACCTGGCCGCCGCAGGCGAAGCGGGTCTCACTGAGGGCCACCTCCAGGCGGCACGTGTCACGGGTCTCAAGCTCCGGGGCGCAGTAGAGCTGCACCTGCGGCACGCTGCTGGCCGGCGTGGTGTGGCTCATGATGTGGAAGATTCGGATCCCTGACTCGCTGCGCACCACCTCGTCTTGCAGGTACAGCCACATGGAGTAGCCGAAGGGCGGCAAGTGGAAGGACTTCCGGGGCAGCGCGATGGATAGACCCTGTGGCGGGAGACCTTGATAAGGCTTCTGGGTTTTAGGATCAGGTGGCAGCATGCAAATGTTCACGAAGCGAGTGAGGTGCAAAATCAGTTGTCTGCGAGCTGGCCGGCCACCAAGAACTCGGATGGCTCGAATGCATGCAGCCCGCATCAAGGGGTCGGAAGAGTTCACCAAGAGCAGAGCAAATCGACACAAATCTGAGTTCTTGGCGCCAGCGTTCTGCGGATCTCGCAGGGATTGCACTCCAGGCTTTGGCCGATTCTCCATCTCTGCGTAGGTCGGCGTCCAGCCTGCTTCCAACAGGTCGGCATACACGCTCACAACGGGCGTGAGTACTCTGTAGTCAACCGAGTCGATTAATCGCTTGCTCATGGCCAGGTCCAAGTAAATCAGCAGAGACTCAAATGGAGATCTGATGCTCTCTGGCTTGCGATTGATGATGGCTGCCAACACCTTGGCCATGGTGTTCACCCATTGAGGCTCCAGCCGACACTTCATCATGTCCAGGAGTATCGGCAAATGTTTCCACTTGGGGCCTCCCAGAATCGCTTCCTTGAAGGCGGGCACTCGAGCGAAGGTGTAGATGGTGGACTCAGCCGCGGCCATCTGCAGTTGCATGGCTTCGTACTCCTCCTCGTGGGCCCTTACCGCCACTGTCCGATACACCACGGTCCGGACGATCCGAAGCATTTCCAGGATGGGGCAAAACTCCGGGGTCAGGGCCCGAAGCGGCTCGCGCAAGCCTTTCAGCTGGCACTCCAGCTCGTAGGCCAAGACACTAAAGATCCAGTTGGTGGCCTGAATCACACCCAGCGGCACACCCCGCACGCTGTTCGGGTCATCTGCTGGGGCGGGAAGCAGCGCCTGCAGCAGCTTCTTAAAGTGTCCAGAAGCGAAAAAGTCTTCAACGGCTTGGCGCTTGATAGAGCCAAACATGAACTGCGGTTCGATTTGCATCTTGAACTCTTCTCGATTCTCTCCTCGGCTCATGGACTTGTCGAAGCAGCACCATATCCTTCCAGGGCTGATCACTGCAAACTCAGTCTCAAAGGAGACCGCAACAGAGTACGGCAAGTTCTTGGTGGGGATGGTGACATTGTTGGCATTGGGGTCCATGGAAGCCGCCGGGCTCTCCTTGCTCACCAGGATATCCACGGTCATGGCCTTCTTCTTGACGCAGGTAATCTTTACCTGCTGGGCCCCCGGCACCAAGATCGGCAGTGGCTCGCAGGCGTTGGAACTGGCGTCGCGCTTGGGACAGTCCCTGGGGTACTGCCGCTCCATGTCGTTGAGCAGCGCGGCGGAGAGGAAAATCAGGATGCAGCGGCCGACCCAGGTTTTGACCGCGTCGCTGGTGCGCTTGTTGTGCCCTGGCTGAAAGCGCTCGTCCACCTCCTCGATGCCGATGTTCAGCAAATCCTTCAAGGTGCCGGCCAGCAGCTTGATCTGTTCCTTCTCCGGCAAGAGAATCAAAAGGGAAAGCAGGGAGTCGGGCACCTCTGCCAACGCCTGGGACATCTCCTTCGCCACGTCCGAGTCAGAAAGCACGGTGCCTGCCGCGATGTGGGACACCAGCCGGGCGATCACCTTGGGAGAGCACACACTTCGTACCATGCGCAGGTCCTCCGCAAGGGCGGTCTTCTCAGCAATGCGGGCCAGCTCCTTCAAAGTGGTGGAGACCCAGGCTTGGCCGGCTAGGCCGCACTCCCGCAGCAGGTGGATGATCACATCCCAGAACTCACCAGACATGGAAACCGTGAGCTCCTGCATGACGGAGCGCGTCAGCACCACCTGAAGCACAAAGTCGCGCACGTCGCAGGGCCAATCCATGGCCCTGACAATGAACCGCGGGCTCACCTGGACCATGGCCTCCTTCAAGATCACCGAGCGGCTGGCTTCGGAGATGGTGGATTTGGCAAGCCTCATCAGCTTGACCTCAGTTGAGTCCTCGTCGTCCTCCTCAGTCTCTTGGCTCTGAGCCAACGGGGTGAACAGCATGAGGATGTCCTTCACCACCTCATCGTTCTTGTGGCCAAGAAGTCGCATCAAGGGCACCATAAGCCAATCATTACCTGCGAGCTGTCCCGTATCCGAAGGAGTGCACACCAAGGTGATAAGCTGGATACTTTGCTGCCAGAACATGATCATCACCAACCTCACTGCCGCATCTTGAACATCGGGATGCCCATACATGAGGAACCAATGTAGCTCACGCCAGAAAGAATACTTTCCAGGTTTTTGATCTGGAAATACAACGGCCCCTTCAGCCCATTGAGCCTCATTGATGAGCTCTGTGCACTCTGCGGCATCCCGTGCCAAAATGGCTTCAGCTAAGTTGAGCAGAGCAATCTGAAAATCTCGGGGCAGGTCATGGTGCAAGCAGCTCAGCAGGGAGGATACCACCCCCGCCTTCTTGTGCTCATCGCCCGGACTGGGGCGAGGAAGCTCCTCCGCCTTCAGCTCGATGCGGTGTCTGTACACGTTGTCGATGAACTGGTGGAAGCCTTCCTCCGGCGTGAGGGCTGGGTGGATAGCCTGACTGCAGATCTGCAGCACATAAAGTCTGGTGTCCAGCGGTGTGCTGGTGGCCGTGCCAGCCAGGAACAAGATTGGGGCCAGGTGCTTCTCTGGGTACAGCACCCCTTGCAGCAGATCTGCACAGACCACACGGCAAAGCCATCGGTCTCGGCAGCAGGTCATCAGGATCGTGGCCAGGTGCGGGAGCAGCGAGGCAGCGCGGGCCTCCCCGGCGTCCGCGTGCGACAGCAGGAGGCACACCTAGTGCGACTGCAGGTTGGCAGGACTACGATGACCATAAATCATGAAGGCAAACGCACAAATGCAACCAACAGCCACACACAAGGGACAGAAACCAAGCGCACGAATGTGCATGCGCCAAACAACCTGGATTCACTTTGGAACCCACCAACCGAAACAATCTTCAATCAAACACAACACAACCACAAGCAAAGCCCTCAAAACCCGTTGAGCCCAAGCCAACATGCAGCCAACACCATTTCGTCAGAGCCACATTGGCGTAGGTCTCGGGGGCCAGGTGTTCGGTGCGCAGCACCGCCATGGCGAAGTCGGTGGCGCGCTCCAACAAATGCTCCTGGGGTTCTTTTCAGTTCCTTACTAGGTCCTCCAGTAGAAAAGCTAGAATAATTTGGTACCAACTTCTTTCTGTAGTCTAATTTTGATCCTGTTAGTGGGACCTACCAGGGAAACCTCTACTAGGTCCTCCAGTAGAGAGGTTCGAATAAGGGTACCCGATCGTTTTTCTGTAGTCTATTGAAGGAGGTGAACCCTCCCCCAAAAAAGGGTCAAAGGGCACTACTGGGTGACCTAGTTTAGTCTCTACTCTGAAGGATTGGTTTGGAACAACCCAGTTCAAATGAGGGATCGCGAATCCTAGTCTAGAGCCCATGTGGGTTGCCACTGTTCAACAAACAGCGGACACCAGTAGGTTTCCGCTCAACCATCGTGCCGAAGGATTTGAACCACCCAGTTTGAATTCATTTGGATCTCAGAATTGTATGGTCCGCCGCTTTTGTACAGGTGTCCTGTGAAAAAGTGTAGGCTTCCTGCGGGGGGTATGCTAAATTCCCAAAACTAGTCAAACCCTTCCTCCGCGAGACGCAGCGGGGGGTCGTAGTGGGGCAGCAAGCGCAGCTCCACGTCCGCCTGCAGCTGCTCCTCACAGAGAATCCGATTGGTTTGGGTCCAGTTTGGATTGGTGGCTTGCACTAGGGGGCTTGGGTTTGAATGTGGTTAGGGTGTGTGGTTTGTATTGGTGGCTTGGAGGTTGGTCAGTCAGGGGTTCGAAATCCCTGAATTGCCCACCCAAAGGTCGATTCAGGGCGACTGGAATATAAGTGAGACAGGCTGAACACGACAGGAAGAGACCAACGCAGGAGGTAAAGTATGAAAGACGCAGAGGATCGACTATGATTGTGATTAAGGCGACACCGTGGATACACTTGTGCAGCGACATCCCCAACAAGTAACTATTGGTCACCCCGTAAAACGCTTCATGCACTGACCACAATCAAGGTCCCAAACTGCGTGCTTCAGCTGAAAATAAGTCGCCTAAATGAACGAACAGATCCTGTGTGCTTGCTTGTGTGTGCGTTGGAATGGTGCCGGTGATGTATGATTCCCTAAATTGTGTAAACAAAGACTATAAAATCCAGGGAATCCAATGGATAGTGGCCTCAAACGATAGTGCATTTGGTCGCATGCCATCAGAATTACTGATTTGTTCTCTGGCCATCTGGTTCCCTATCTAACTCTCCTGAGAGCCGACGATGTGGCAGAAGACGTGAGAAGAAGATGACAAGCCGTTGAGCTTGGGGGACAGGATGCTCCGCTCATCCCTCAAAGTGACCTCTTCCATGACATTCAGCACTCGGCTGCGTGGGCCCCGCATCCGCGGCCTCAATGGGAACTGCTTGGAGACCTTGGCCTCGATCCGGGATCCAGGAGCCCGGAATTCCAGCCACACCTCCCAGGGCATCCCCTCTGAAAGCTCCGTCTCCAGCATCTTCTGCGTGTAAAGCTCGTTGCTGCGGTAGAAGCAAGTGTATGGCACCTTGGCGGCCGTGTTCACCATCTGGCTCAGCAAGCGTAAGTCTGCTGGATGCAATGGCAAGCCCTGGATGATCTCGTCCATGATATGGTGCAGCTGCAGAAAGAATTGCCGCTGGAGCTTCTGAGTTTGAATCAAAAGATGATCCAAGTCTTCAATCTCAGCCTTGAGCTTCGTGATGTCGGCCTGCATGGCTGTCACGTGCTGTCGGTGCATGGCTTGCATCGCCTCGGACTCCCGGGTCGCAGACTGCTCGGCCGCCCGCATGAGTTCCTGTAGATGCGCACTTTCTTGCTGCAGGCGCTGCATACGGCTGGCCGCTGCATCGCGCGAGATCATGGATCTGTCCATGATGCCCATTATGGCAGTCAGTGCCTGTGAGAGCAGGAGGTGTTGCAAATCTTCCTTGAAGAGAAGGCCTTCATCGCTGAGGCTTTTCTTGAAAAGGGCATCTAAGGCCAGGGATGTGGTTGCTGCGTCTTGCCGAGCATGCAAAAGCAATGCGCAAATCTTGGAAGTGAGAGTCCGGTAGGACTTCTGCACATATGCCGAGAGGTCTAAGGAGACCCCGCTCAAGGGGATAATCCGGACTACCAGCATAGCAGAGCTATCCTCGCTCATGACAGTCCGGCCTCTTGGGGACTGTAAAAGATGGTTGATGAAAATGGCCGCGGCAATGAGCACCGAGTGGTCCGGGGGCTTGGGCTGGGCCACGTCGGGACTCGCGGGAGGGAAGCCCGTCTGCAGGCTGTGCACCTCGGTTTTCTCAAAGTTGTCGGCCACCAAAGCGGCCAGGAAGATGGAGCGCTGCAAGGGTGTCTTCAGCAGACCCACATACCTCGGGTGCGAGTGGGGCAGCAGCTGAGCGACAAGCCCGGAGTTGCACAAAATCCAAAGCGTGGTGACGGGGTCGATCAAATCCATCTCTCCCAGGCGCCGCTTCTCTCGGCGCGTGGCGGGGTCATCATGAAACTGTAGGCGAACAAACTGCAGCAGCACCGAGGCGGCCTCCGTGACGTTGAAGACGCTGTCGGAGGATTGGGACAGCTTCTTGGTCAAGATCTGCTTTGCCTCCTTCTGCTGCGCCCGGATGGAGTTCTCCACCTCGTGGGGCGCTCCCGGATGTTGGCTGGCTCTGAGCAGCGTCAGCACCCCGTCGAAAACGGGGCCCTCGGACACCGGCATCAGTTGGGGCACCTTGCCGCTCAGCAGCCCGCCATGGCGGATCAGCTGCGGGTCCTCGCTGAGCTTTGTCGTGTTGGACAGCTGCGCCTGCTCGTTCAAATACACCTCACCAGCGGAGGGAGTGGGGGCGAGGGTCCTTCAAAGGCTAAACTTCTAAACTCATGACCATTCCCGTTCCCAAAGGATCAAAAGAAGTCTCAAGTGAGCCCCGGGTGTTTCTTCACCGGCCTGGATGGAGTTGCCATTCACCACGATGGTCACCACCACCTGCCCTGGAGGCAAGGAATCCAGGCTCTGCTGGCATACAAAGGTTTCGTGCTTGCCCGAGGTGGGGATCTGGATCCAAAGCCGGAAATCTTGCAAATTGATGTAGACACTTGGCAGATTCGTGTCCGCACCCAGGACCAGGGGCTGGAAATCCGGGACCTTGGACGTCCTGCAATGCTTGGCCCGCATCACGATGACGAAGGACATGGTGTAGGTCTTCCTGGACTCCTGGCCCGCGAAGTACACCGAAATCGTCTCCCTATCCAGCGTCCCAATAATCCGACGCTCCAGCTTGCAGTCGATGGCACGCATCACGATGTCTGCCACCTCACAACCCGTACAGAAATTCTGAAACCAACTGCCATCGTTGGTTTAAACGGGAACTCGGGAACTCATGACTTCGAAGGGCTTAGGAATGTTTCATCTTTGGACGCCTGCTGGGGCTGCATTAGGCAGGACAAAGCGAAGAGGGCGGAGCGCTGCATCATCAGCACCGGGTGCACGTGCCGATCGCTGCCCCGCTCGCGTAAGAGGAGCACCTCCTTCCAGGCGATCTTGCTGTCGTCCATCAGCATCCTGGAAAGACTGATCCTTAGCGCAAGAACCAAAAGCAGCAGGGCAGTGGGGCACTCGTGAAACATGGTCAATGGTGAAACGCGATGAAACAGAATGAAGAAACCTTCCAATTGCGTAAGCACCCGGGAAAAATACAGAAATACTGCTAGCAGTGATTGTTTTTCTTTTTTTTTAATTAACCAAACAATATACGACATATTCTTAAACATGTGTTTTGTAAAAAAAAAAAAAAACAATGGAACAAACAAAGGGTGCTGAACCGAGGCTCAGAAGTGATCCCTCCCGGTACCTCAGCAGCTCCGCGCACAGATGCTCATCCCCCGCACAGCAGTGGGCCACCACCTGCAGCAGCCAAGCCTTCTCCTCCTCGAAGTCAGCGGTGTTGTCCAGGCCCACGTAGTACTCCAACAAGTCGATGAAGTGCCGCAAGGACGGCACCACCTGTCAGTAGCAAGGAGGAGTCCCACAGAAAAGAAGGAGCGCTTTTCTCTGTTCCGCTTTTTTCCGCCTTGAAGTTCCTCCTTATCAAACCAACCATGCCTAACATGAGTCAAACATGTTTTAGTATGTGACATGTGTTTGGTACCTTGGAGATGTCCTCGGTGCGCAGCACGATCTGGTCGATGTTCTTGAGTATGGAGGTGATGGAGTCCTGGCTCCGTGCCTCGCCGAGCGCCAGCAGCAGGTGCAGCACCGCAGTGATGGCCCGGGCGCGCAGGTCCAGGTGGCTGTTGTGCCGGCCCCTCCGCATGAAGGGCGACATGAGGTCGATCAGCTGGAAGCAGTTCTTCCGCAGCTTGGGCCAGCAAATGTCCACCTGGTGGGGCAAACATATGTACCCAAAATGGAATCCTGGTACATAAAAACATGGACTAAAACCTGCGGTCGACCCATACCCACCTCCGGATCTAAGGCGCCATAGGTGCCCTGCAGCAAGGAGATGCTCTCCAGGGAGAACATCTTCTTGCACCTGGGCGCCTCAATAAAGATGGACAGCTGGGCAATCGTGCTCCTGGTGGGGTGGCAGAAATCCGTAAGGGTCAGAGCCAGGGGCAGCACGAAAACGCTATCAGCGAAGGCGCCAACTTTGCAAATCTGAAGGCAACTAATGCCATCCTGCGAAAGGTTCAGGACGCAGCGAACGCGCTCACCTTCAAGAAATGAAAAATTCAAATTGTGGCGTTGTGGCTCTTGCCCTTGCTTGCCCCAGTCCAAGTAAACTTTGCGGAACATGTCGATTCCAGCGTCATCCTGCTCCGGCGAGAAATAGACTCGAAGCGTATTGAAAATAAATCCAAAACGTTTCTGGTCGCTTTCCTCTGCGCCAAAGTCATCCACTGTGAAGTATAATGCAATGGTTAATTCTCTCGCTGCACCGAAAGCAAGCTCTGGCAGCGTGATTGCTGCAAAATCGTAGGAGGTCACTTGCAGCCTCTCGCTTTGCACCTTAACAGTGTCATGTGGGTCGAGAGTCAGCTTCATGAAGGAATACTCGTTCAGAAATTCCAGCACAGAAGTGACACTAATGTCTAATGGCAACACATCAAGCCTCGCCATGGTCAGCACCGCATCAAAGAGAACCGGGTGATCCTGAGTGAAATACTTGGTGACCTGCTTTGGGTCACAACTTTGCAAGATATCGTGCATCACCTCCAGATTCTCGCAAATCTCCTTCTCTGAAAGCCCGTCGACGTTTTCGACTTTCGACAAGGCCTCCAGAATGGTTTTGTCCATTGGGATGGTTCGCCGACGCGACATCCTGCAACCACTTTGGGTGCGCCACTTTGGGCGGGGGAACTATGGCCTGGCGACTTGGCTCGGTGGCCGTGCTGTGAGAAATGCCCAAAGCCGACTTGGCCAGTTGAACTGCAGACGACATCAAGTTCCCTTATGTCTAAAGTGTGTAAAAGCCAAACAGGGGCGCTGTTTACGGGAATGCGTGCACTCGACAAACATGCCACCCAAGACGCAAAATCAGCCGGGTCACTTCAGCAAACTCCGAGCATCAACATAATTGTTTGGGATGACTCGACTACTTTAGAGGTTTGCTGGCCAGGGTTTTTTCCTCACACCCGAATACACATTTTAAAGCAAAGCCGAACAGCCAATAGTACCTATCAATTGAGGTTCGTGTGACCCCAGGGAGTGGATGGAGTACGACCGCAAACAGCGGCTGCAGCAAGCTGTCGGATACAGTTACAGGAATTCATGCAACACCTAAAGCACCACCGGGCCTTCCGTCCAAAACAACAAAGCGTGAGCAATGACAAGCAGCGATACGCCTTAGTAAATCAACCCATGTCGACTCCCAAATTGCTGGATATTGACACGTTCAACATGCCACATGAGTAAGCTCTTCAAAAAATGAAAGTGCCCGTCTGGATTGCACGCTCATTTTATTGTCAGCCAAACAACCTACCTGTACCTGCCTTGCCAAGGAGCACAAAGCAGCAAACGTCCTTTTGGCACTACTCAGCACCCACCAGCTGCTTGTCAATCAGGCGCTCTGCAATTTGCAGCGGTTCCAGCACCTAGCCCCAAAGCCAAATTCCAGTCAGTCATGGAACTTCAGGGAACAACCAATGCAACAATCTTTGACTGAGCATGTTCAGCCGATTCCTCATCCGCCAACCACACCTGAGAAATGAAACGCAAAACATTGAGATCCATAGTCCACCCTCAAAATCGCCAACTGCCTGCACTCGCATCATATTTTATAGTCCAGCGCTGCAACTGTCAACTGCTGCAAAGCTTGCCGTACTAGTACATGCTTAACGCTCAAACGTGGAACCTGACCAAAACGTAGAGAGACGGCCCGCCTCCCTGGCAAAGCCCAAGCCCAGGCCCTGCTTTAGGCACAGGTCCTTGAGACTTTGTCGGCACATCCACCTCCGAAGGAACACCACTTGGACTCGGACTTGCAAGTCAAGACACCCTGTCTGTACCAATGGAATTTTGTCTGTTCAAAACAACTTGAACGAAACAAATACGACTTAATTTCCTGTAAGTACTGTGCCCGTCTCATCCTTTGCCTATGCCGAGACGCCCACCCGTACAAGCAAACACACCTTGTGGACTACTGCATTCTGGAGCAAAACGAACGAACAAATTAGCCTGATGATGAAATTGCACCAGATTTCGAGAACAAACAGCAAATGCCACAAGCCCTCTGTTGCACTCGACTAGAAACCAAACGCAAGTATTTCTGCGCATGCCGGGGTGTCCTGCTTGCGTCATGGAGCAAGCTCCGGGGTGGTTGATTGTTGTATTTGCGATCTTGGAATGATGGCAGAAATCACATATTCTGATCCACATCCACACCTGACCGGTAAACGCATCTCTCACGGTGGTGTCTGCATTCATATCCATCCCCCGCCTCAGTCTATCCTCATGCGGATTTGGAAAGGACTCCTTGGTGGCTGGCGCAGCAGCGCGACCAGTTCGGCTTCGGCCTCAAACCCTTGTCAAATCAAGACTCCTGCTGGGCAAATAGATTCAAATATGCTCACAAAGAGCCGAGCGCCGGCCTGCTATGCAAACTGCGGCGGAAAGAACAAGAACTTGCTTGCTGTCAGACTTTTGAACTGGAAGCACCCGTACAGATATTAAATACAAATATATATATATATAGATGTATGTGTATGCATATATTTGAGATCCGCCAAGAACTGGACGCCAAAAGACATGCCATTCTTGCCCGTGTTTAGGTTTAGCGGTGCTGACAAGCATCCTTCGGCGGGGAGTACCAGGCGAAGCAGTAGGCTACCAAGAAGCCTCCAACTGAAAGGCCAACTGGCTGTGGCTCCTACCAAACCGGTACCAAACTACCCTGGTCAGTGGAAACATGGACCAAAACCTGCGGTTTGCCCCTCCTGTTTCATTTTGAGCCACACCCAACTGACCACATCACCCGACCAAGGCATGTACATGTCGCCCCCAATCCTGTTATGAAAACCTAACAATGCTGGACATTGGAGGAAGGGACACCACTGCAAGATATCTAGATGCTACACTGCAATAAGTAGACCTTTTGCAGAAATAATATGAAATCGGATAGCAAGTGTCTGTTGCCTGCCTGCTGCATTCTACCTTGTGCCTGATGGCCCGCATTACAAACTCCCCTCATGACAAACTCTCTCCTTGGTCTATACTATGTTCTAACCTGCAATGATACCATGCAACAAGAGATCGGCTGAACGATCATCTTTTAAGACATGGTAGGCTTTGCATCAGCGATGAAGTCGCGGGCCGTTTACCTTTGGCGTCCCAGCAAAAATCATGAGATCTACTTCGGTCAGGTGCCAGCCAATGCTCACAACGGACATGGAGATGCCAGTTTGCTTTACCCCAGTTGGTGGATTCATCTGGCCAGAGAGTGAGAATACATAATCTGGGACAGCCTTTCGCGATGTGCCTGAGAGCGAACAATTGTCAAACAGATGTTCCTAAGCTAAAGACAAGTTCAACGTGGGACACCTGCAACTTGCCCAAAGGCAATTAATGGTCACGGCGATCCAAGTGTGGTGTTGCTTGCTTATCAAGCTTCAGTTGCAACGCAAAGACAGAGCGTGGAGGTTCTCAAGGCAGGAATCACAGCGCTGTTGGTGCGAAGGGAGCCTCCTATCAAGGACAAGGTCATTTTTTGTGCAGCCAAGCAACTGTCAGCATTGGAATCCCAAGTTGAAGTACTGGCAGTGATGGGAACCTTGCTATGCACATGTGAGAAACACTGCTGCCCAAGTGGCCGCTCGCTTTGTCTTTTGCTGTTGTGACACTCGTTTCTGCGACAAATAACACGTGTCTCAACACGCAGAAAATGTGGCAACATCAAAGGATCGCACTTGAATGCCACTGCCGCCTGTGCCTGGCGGTATTATTTGATACATTCAGATGATCACTCATTATCCTGGTCCAAGAACTCTGCCTAATTGTATCACCCCCTTCAACATTCTGCTGGATCATCCTCGAAGCATGTAATATCCTGCGTTACAATCCGCTCTTCCCTAAATTTCCAGGTCACAGGATGCCACCGCAGCGTGTCAGCCTCAAGCCAAGATATCGACCGGAGACCTACACTTGATACCTGCACTACCCATCTAGTCAATTCTGTGAGGGACATCATCCAACGGGCAAGCAGGCGATGATTAGGATGGCAAGCTTGTCAACCCCAAAGAGCCTCTCCATGCAGTGGCAACCTGAGCTGGTACCATGGCTCATGCGAAATAAAATCATTTCTCGAAAGTCTGGTTTCATTGAACCTTCATCTAATCCAAATACAGCAACCCTGTTTAGCGCTAAGCTCTTGGCGGTCAAGGAACATTCCTCCTCCACGGCCCGAGCTGCGGCAACCTTGCGGATGGTGAGTGCCATCGATTCTAAGGGCTAGCGGTGTTGGAATCCCAATCAGTCTGGCAGTGGTCGAAATGTGAGGGTTCTGGGCAACGGTTGACTCAGGCCTGTTCGACGACACTCGGGACCTGCATAGTTAGGACTAAAATGTTGCCGTCTCCTGAGAGCGTGGCCTTGCTGCATGCGACAGTTGTGTGGGTTCCAAAGTCAGGAAGTGGTCGCCCCCCTTCTCAGCTGCCTGCTGGTACTGCCTCGCCAGCTTCCAGCCTTGCACGAAACGAACCCATCTAAAGCTGGCACCAGCTCTCATGACCCTCTCCAAACCGCCTGTTCTAAATCAATTCCAACTACTGCCAGGAACAATCCAGGCCAAATATCCGAAGAAGCGTGCGCCCTTGAATGGCGGACTCGAGTCTTCTTGGGACAACTCAGTTGCGCGTCACGTAACAAGATCTAGTCTGCAGCTGTGCGACAGGTTGGAACGAACACAGCAAGCAGTTTGGCCAAACTATTGCTTAAATAATTTACATGTGTCAGCTACAAAATCGCCGATAGCGCCAGCAATCTGCCACTCACCCTTCCTTCTCCAGTGACTGCGACACAAGAGCTGACAAGTTTGCACCAAACAGCTTAATATTTCAATAGAAGCAACGTTGGGTTTGGGCTGCCGTGAAGCTGCATAGCCAACTTTGGAAAACTGCACAGTTGCCTAGAGCAATCTTGCTAATTGAAACTGCAAGAGCCAAGGCAGGCAACACCGACCTCAAGTCGTTATCCGATCTAACAAAACGGACAGCAACACACCTGGATGGCGGGAAGCCGAACGTGGTTGGCAGGTCGACTGCAGCTCTTCACAGGTGCTTAGCCCCTTCCACGATATCAACACTCAGGGCTGTTTAACAGAGGACCAACTTCTGAATGCTGTCAGCTCACAGCTACCAGAAATCAATAAAGTTTCCTCTGCCCAGGCTTTCCCCACTTGCCATGCGGCCGCCTCACCGCTGGAAGGCCAAAGCGCTGCCGCGGTGCCAGCAAATCTGCGCGGCGGAAAGCTGAGGAAGTGTTCAGTCTCCAAATTCACGGACCATGGTCTTGGTTCCCTTCTGGACATGGGCAAAGTGGGGGCCCCAATGGTTTGTGCAGGTAGTTTGGGTGGACCCCACTCATCCTCCGCGAAACAACCACTGCTACGAGCCAGTTGCTGAAACCAATAAGAAAGGCCGCATACAGCGCAGCATGCCAAGGCGCCAGATCAGGTACTACGGGCAAGTCAACAATACTCGGCACTGGGCATCCCCTCTCCGCGGTCTGCCACCACTATCCTATGTCATGATACAATTTCCGTAGCCTTTGGGTAAGTGCTCAGCTCTTAGTGGCAATCTGACGTAGGTTGCGCAGTGCAGGCAGTGCTGTAGTTGCTCGATGCAGTTGCGGAAAGGTTTGATGCCACGCCGGAAGACAACACGACAAATG